CGACTCCACCCTAGTATTATAAAAATATTGCTTGCCTTATCATAAACATATCTATTGTCAAATACAATAAAGTTGGTAAAATTGTAGTATGAAAAAAAAATTAAAGAATTTTCAGGCCGAACTATGATTTTACTTGATGTCCTATTTTGTACACATTAGTTCTATATTATGATATTTTATAAACTGTGTTCAGATATTCACAACTATAATTTGATAGTCCTATTTTGAGCACATTAGGTCTGAAGAGGTTAAGGATTATTACCACTAAAATAATTTTCAATTAATCTTCCAGGTTCACCATCAATTAAACCTTGTTCTTGTAAATCATTTAAAAGATCTTTTAAATTATTAATTTTCCTATCTTTTCTCCTAAGCTTTTGTTGTAAAATTTTTATTTTATTTTTTAGCACAGTTTCATTTTGATAATTATTTAAAGTTTGTACTTCAACATCTTTTGTGGACTATAACTCAGTATTAATTAAAATATTATCTAAAAAGCATGTATTAATAATAATATAAAAAGTAATGGTAAAATGTAAAACAATTCTAGTACCATCTACAGTATCATTAACTTCTACAGGATTTCTCAACATAGGATTTTTTCTTGGTTTTTTAACTGTTTGATAATATTTTGGGAATGATGGAAATATAGATGGAATTGCGTTTGATCTTAACAATGGTCTACTTGCAGCCGGCCGTATTTGAAAATCATTATTTGTAAAATGTATACTGCAAATTCTACTGTACTGTGTAGGCTTAAATTTTTTTCTTTTTATAGCTTCAATCTATTTTTTCATCAATTCCTCTTTGGAATGTGGAAATCTAGTATTATGATAGTTAATGATTTAAATCGAACACAGTTTTGGTTGTAATAATGTAATAAGTGGTTATGAATCATTAGACAATAATTATTGCCAATTTTGTTTTAAATTGGTAGGAATTTAGCCGAAAAAAAGAATTGGCTGTCCAGATTTAGCTCTTTTTTGGCAACCATACGCAACACATGAGTTTAGCATGTTTAATTTTAAATAAATTTAAAATATTTACATCAATAATAATATTTAATTGTATAAAACTATAATAGTATTTTATAATTTTGCCCCCCCCCCCCCCGAGAAAATGGCGGTAACATTAGTTGCGAGCTTCACCTGATAACGGGAATTCGCTATTTAGTTTAATATAGATATCTGTGTCTGGTGTACATAAATTCATTGTGTTAGTTGTTTACCCCTCGAAAAAACTGTAGGTAAGGCTTGTATATTAATACAAATAATAAAACAAAATAAAATGTTTAAATACTCATAATAGAAGAATAAAATAAATGTAAATATTGATATAACATAAAATACGAATACGAATATTTACTCACTTACTGCACGGTGGGTTAAACTTTAGACTCTTATGTTTCATGTTATTCCAGTGAAACCACTATCGGTAAAAATGTAAAATTGCTTAATGTACCATAAATGTTAGTATACAATATTGTTTAACATGTTATGTAAAAATATTATTTATTTTAATAACTAAAACTCGAAAATTTTAGAAACAAATTAAAATAGTTGGCTGGTTGTCCGAAAAAAAAAAACATAATCGGGGAAAATAGTCATAAATAACAGGAGTTTAATTAATTTTTGATTTAATTTTAGAAAATAACACGGACAATAGACCATTAAAACTATTTATAATACATACGTGTTATTGAGAAATAATTTTGATTTATTGATAACAATTAATATAAAAGGTGGATTATTTTTCGTACCACCGTGAAGAAAATGTAATTTTGTAAGTGGGACATACAGTATTCCAGTTATCCCACCGTGCACGGAAAGAGGTTCTAGGTCCCTATATGTTTAATAAGCAAACCTGACCGATACAAATATCCAATGCGGCTGAATGGCGGCGATTTCCCAAAATCACAGCAATTATACTCGAATGTTGATGCTTAGTATCTGCAGTAATAATATGGTAAGGTGAAGTGAACCACCAAAGCAGCGATGATGCGTAAGACACAAACAATAGCACAAACTCGGTTGATACAACGAACACGTGCAAACGTAATAATAAGTCGATTTTCGCAAACTACGGGTATGAAATTCAGAATTCAATACTCGCGAGATAATAATATATTGCATTGGCAAAGGGCAATACAATACTCACACTTCGCAGACATGCAGAATTATCAAAGTACCCGATAACGATGACCGACGCGGAGGCGGTTAAAAATGAGTAACGTACAAACAAAATCACGTGGTCGAACAGCGATATATACCGGAATGATGGCGACTCGCAACAAAGTAATGATACACAAAACTACAAAAAATGAACGTCAACATAATCGCAATTAGAAACTTGGAAACAATATCGTGGGCGGAGTACAAAATTAATTTCGAATTTCAATCGTACGCAACAGTACACACTTTAAAAGACAAAAAAAAGAATTAAAGAAACAACCACGGTGGTCTTTTCGAGGAGAACCGGTAATATGAATAATATGATTATAAGTTATAACAAGATCGATAATCGATGGATGATGACAATTGTCGAACTAGAAAATGGCAACGATTTACGATAACACGATATCTACGGACGTTGACGATCGACGCCCGACGGACACGGGCAGCAACGACCGTTAACGAAGATTAGCGCTCGTAACGCTACAACCAGCTGACCCACCATCAAAGTGCAGATTGTAGATTTGTGCCAACCGGATGGCAGATATTATTTGACTGATTTGAGAATAAACTTCCATGATTTTGATTTATAACATGAGATTATGAGAATCATGGGCGATGATTGGGGGCAGCCCTCCACTAAAAAGAAAATTTCCGGGAAAACCAAATTTATTAATACTCAATTCACTAATTACGTTTTACATGTTATGGTTATGATCGTGAGACTTTTTTTATTTAATATTGATTTTAATATAGCTGGATACCTAAATAAATTACTTTTCACGCATTTGCACCGAATAAACTTCTTACATTAATTTCTTCTGTTAAGCATATATATTACCTTTTAAAGTAATTTTTTCGTTATTTTTATTTGATTTTAATATTTTCATTATTTATCACAAAACGAATTATATGTATATTCTATTACAACGATCGATCACAGATTAATAACAATAAAATTGTAAACATTATATCAATATTATTTTATCGATACACAAACGTTATGTTATTTTTATAATCGTTAGATACTGTTTATACAGATAAGTAATGGGTTTTGTGCAATTACCAATAGGTACCTACTTAATAAATAAGTAAAAATATTAATTATATAATCTTTATTTTGTAATTGAATACCATCATAACATTATTCTCTAAGAACTATTGGCCATAATGAGAAATTACTTGAATAATTAGTTTCAATTATTTTTTTTTTCATTTGATGTTATTAACGTTTACTTTTTTTTTCAGTGACAATTTTCTATTTTAAACTTTTTCAAATATTTGTAATATTAATTACAGCTTTGTCATTTCAACAAATTACTTGTTTTCGGAATACCTATTCATAGTTTTAAATTTAATAAACGATTATACAGTAGAACCTACTTATTAGGAACACAGGATAATTGATACAATCGTGTTATTGAAACAAAATGTCTCGGGACGGACCGGTCGTACATTTGAATATTGAAAATAATTTAGATTATTGAAACAATTGGGCAAAAGGACGTGAAATATTATTATATATCGATTATCTGGTGATAACCGATGTACTTAAATACATTTAATGTTATCTTTGCTGTCGTTACGTTTATTTTTAGTGTAGGTACTTAATCGTAAGTACAGTATCTACGTAATGATGTTCTTTCCTGTACGTATCGTGTATTATAGTTCGATGCATCCCTAAAAGTAAAGAAATCGTTGGTGTCTTCAGGAGAGTAGCCAGCACCGTGCAGATGAACAAAGCTTTATTCGTATGAAACTATGCCACTATGGTCATGGAGTTACTCGACGAAAAAACACATTGATAGATATTAATTCTAAATAATATTGTAGAATATATACACATATTATGGTTAATAATATATTGTATATTTTTCATTTTTTTGCACAGCACAGAACAAATCAATCGATTATTGATATATTTTACCTTGGTCCCAAAATGTTCCTAATATACGACTTTTACTCTATACATATAAATATATATATATTTACTAAAATTACAACAAAACCTTATTTATAAATGTGAGACCGACCAGCGTTTTCAGAAATTCATAACCGTAGTGAAAAGTTCCTGTAATCACTATACAATTTAATATTTGTATCTAATAAAAAAAAAAAATGTATCACTGCTAAATTTTTAGTCATTGATTTTATTAAGTATAACTACAACTATATTTAGAAACATAACTCGTATAACATCTAATGCAGTGGTTCCCAACCTGGGGGGCGCGCCCCCCTTCGGAGGCGTATACACATCGCTGGGGTGACGCAAGCAATCATCACAAAGTAAAATTTTTATTTATCAAATTTTATTATATTTAAAATTCCACTATAATACTATATTATTTACAATTATTTATATTTTATAATTATTATCATCAATAAAAAAGTAGTCTTTCCGAATATTATATAGTTTATTTGTAAAATTCAAAGTAAACAAAAAAATTATAATTTTTTCAATTTATAGGTGGTGGGGGGGGCGTGTATTTTTGAAAATCTACAAAGGGGGCGTAGAATAAATAAGGTTGACAACCACTGATCTAATGACATTTAATATTTAAATGATGTAGTCGGAAAAATATAATCACGTCTTTTGACGTATCAAGAGTCTGAGCTATTTAGTACACTATTTTAAAAGTTAAGGTGTGGTATTCAGTACTTTGAATTAGTCGTTTATGAAATTAATAAAATTACATATGATAATTTGGGGAGTAGTATTTGAATAGTATTACATATTTGCATAGTGTAAACTAATTAGTAATTACTAATTACTGACAATCAGATGAGAATAATTGTGAATTATTGGTGGTCCTAAAAAGAACCGTTTTTAATGAAATGTAGAAAAAAGGTGGTATTGCTGGAATATTTAATCTTTTTTTTCGGTTTTCTTGGGTAAGAGAACGGCTTGAATGTTTGGTAAAACACCACCTTGGGCGATCGTCACACCGGACAATAATTTGTTTAACTCTTCGTCATTTCTGATAGCCAATTGCAAATGTCTTGGAATGATACGAGACTTCTTGTTGTCACGGGCGGCGTTACCGGCCAATTCCAAGACTTCAGCCGCTAAATATTCCATGACGGCGGCCAAGTAAACGGGTGCTCCGGCTCCGACGCGTTCGGCATAGTTTCCTTTTCTCAACAGACGGTGGATACGACCGACCGGAAATTGTAGTCCGGCACGGGACGACCTGGTCTTCGACTTACCGCCCTTCAATTTTCCAGCTTTACCGCGTCCACTCATGGTTATTAGTTATCTTAAGAGAATATACGTGTTGACTTAGTACAATAAGATCCACCAATGGAATAAAAAAATTAAATTTACTGCATAAATAGTAAAACGACAATAAAGAACTCTTTTATTGGATAAAAACAAAATAATAACGATTATACATTACATCGTTTATTACACATTTTAAACATAAATGTGCTGTTTTTAATCGGCATTCCGGCGAAATATTCCTCTAGAGAAACCAATACTTTTAGGCGTTACTGTTTAATTTATGATATAGTTTACACAAATAGTATTATACGTTTTAAGCCAATGAGTGAACGATATGTTCCATCGGTATTGTTATATATTCACACTGTAAACCCATTTCACACAACATTCAGACCGCTGAAACTCATTAGTCAAGGTTGAAAGACAAAATCGTTCGAAATGGCTCCAGGAGGTAAATCCGCAGGGAAAGCGATGAAGAAGTCGTCCGGCAAGGCGCAAAAGAACATCACCAAGTCCGACAAGAAACGCAAGCCTAAGAGGAAAGAATCGTACGCCATTTACATCTACAAAGTGTTGAAACAAGTACATCCCGACACCGGCGTCTCCTCAAAGGCCATGAGCATCATGAACAGCTTCGTCAACGATCTGTTCGAACGCATCGCCGCCGAATCTAGCCGGTTGGCTCATTACAACAAACGTTCAACAATTACCAGTCGGGAAATCCAAACCGCCGTTCGACTTCTGTTGCCCGGTGAATTGGCCAAGCACGCCGTCAGTGAAGGAACCAAAGCCGTGACCAAATACACTAGCTCCAAGTAGAGCCTATACATTTCAACAAATACGTCTAATAAAAAATAAAACGGCCCTTTTCAGGGCCACCAAAACATTTGACATTTCTTTTCGTCGATTCGATTTTTATTGATTAATAGAGATAGATAGTCAAACAACTCGTTTTTTCATGGTTGCTCAGTTATAAATTTTTTTTAATATAACACGTTCTTAAAACTACATTGTCACAATTCGCAACAGAGAAATACCTATATATTTTGATGGTGATTTTTATAAATCGTTACACAACTATATTATCCACTCCAATGTGTGTGTCCATCAATATCATTTTTGAATGGAGTAAATAAATTTAAAATATTTTTTATCGAGTGAGTAATAAATGATATCTAGTACTATTTAAATTATGTTAGGAGCGGTTAACCTATCCGAGTTTACGCTTACGATGCAAATATTTGTATGACAATTAACTTGACGTTACATATTAATACGAGATACTCAAATTTCTAAAAAATTAATATATTCTAATACAATTAATTGTCTAAATTTTTGAAATTTTACTGAAACTAAAATATATAAACAAAGAATTATTCAGACAATAAATTTACTAAATTAAATTGGTATGTTGTTATTAAATTGTTATAAATTAAAACATTATGGCATAAGTCATGACCAATCAGTTATGCTTATGTATAACTCTAAATGCAATACTTTGAATAATTGTTCTTCGATTAATATAATTTATATACTGAAATATCTAATCAATTTTAATATATTATGTATACAATAGTCAAAACTACAAATATAATTTCCGAGTTCCGAGTATTGACTAAAATTGGTGATAATTAGTATTACTTAGTCATGAAAATTCCTAATTCGGTACTTATCGTTGTAAACATAAAAATATTATAAACTCAAAATAGAATATATTTATAATAAGGTCTGTACTTTGTAATTATTTTTTTATTTACTTATTGTAGTTGATTCCAATAATTAAATTATTATCATCATTAAAAATGACAAAATTGATTTAAAATTATGTTTGATGAATTATTATGTATTAATTATTATGCCTTTAGCAATTTTTACCAAAAATAAGAATTTTTTGTCTTTTGTGACAACGTTATATATTATATATTTGTACCAATTATATTATGTTTTAATATGTGTAATGTGTATGCTGATTACTTTGTAAGTAGATGGTTTTCCC